CCCCAAAACCCCAAAACCCCAAAACCCCAAAACCCCAAAACCCCAAAACCCCTCTTTGCTGAGAATTATTGAATCAATACTAGAAGTTGCTAAGCTAAACATCTAAAGGTGCTAAGAAGGCCTCCCATCTTTGAAACTTAGCTAGACCTCATTGCACTAGGACATTAGTGATCCCTGATAGAGATAGTATAAGTGATAGAAGAATTAATCCTTGGTGGGACATATTTCTACCTGATCTCACTCGGTTTAGAACACCAGCAAATCTTTTCCACTAAAGTCAATGCTCTTAATCGGATTTTATCCAATTTATAAGGGATCTTTAAACGAAAACTGACTATTTTCCCTTGACTTAGAGTATGTATAACAATTTAAGAGATCCAGGTTGCAGAGCCATGAAGAGATAATCCCTCTGCATGCAGAAAGGCTATTAACGGCCCAGTCCCAGTTAGTGTAGAATCAAGAGTAATTCTTAGCAACAACTCGAGTTTTATTTAGGATATTCTTATCAGTTCAAACAGGTTGTGAAATATTCCTCTTAGCACGGAACTCCTGTCTGTAGCTTCGATATTGGAGGCAGATGATACTGATTCCTCGACATAGGAATATTGCTGATGTTTGAACGGCATTCTTGTGAATTGCTCTCAGAGGAGCTAACATCGAGCCTTTTTGATTGAGATTCCTCATCTATGATACATTTTTAAACGAGATCTTAATAATTTTGGGTATTTAAAAGCATCATTTTGATCAGATTTTTTAAATTCGTATTTTTATGACTTTCTGCTCAACCTCTTATTATAGAGCTGAGCAGAAGATTTGAGAAAAGTCCGCTAGGTGATTAAGCGCCATTCTGACTAATGTAGATTTTATCCCTGAAACTTCTGAAGCCACATTCATTAGCATAAACCACACTAAATGCAGACAAATTACCTCAAATTTCTGAGTGGTGTTGCTTAGACTTATCGAACTGGGCTGTGGACTTATCGACGGCAAGGTCTTCTTGGCTAGAAATGATCAGAAAATCTGGTGGCTTACATCCGGTTGATCTCACTAGTGTTCAAATGTAAATTAGGCCCAGCTTGAATGCCACTTCTTGAAAGTTTTCTATTTAGCCGGGGTTTCATTATTAGTCTTCTCTTTGGAGCTCTCAGGGTTAACCCGTGGCTTCTTCAAGAGATGTATAATGATAATTACAGTTGACAACAAAATTCCTAAAGCTTGGGGTACAAATCCTTACAGAAGAGGGCTACGCCAAGGATTGACAAGGAAATTGTCAGTTCCGCACTGAGGCTTCGCTTGGGCTCAGGATTTTCCATCTTAAAATTTGCTGATAAATATTACTAAACGGTAGGAATTTTATTTTATGATTCAATATTCACCCCTAATTGTGGGGTTTTGGGGTTTTGGGGTTTTGGGGTTTTGGGG